TGTTTGAAAGAGCTCATCAAGCCAAAATCAGGAGAGATCAGCCAAGTAGGAGGCGTGCTAATCCCTTATGTAAACAGAAGCACTTGCAGTGGAGAGGAATGATTCAGTGCAGGGCAGCTTGGTGCCAATAATAAAAAAGAGATAATATGTAAGATGACATACAGGAAAAGAAATAGGTTTTGGAAGTGTGCTCTTGGCTGTGATGGGAGTACTCATCCTGGGATGGTAGAGTCTTCATTTGATGTGTTTTACTTTAACACTGTATTGGAAAAGGCAACAGGCAAAATCCTGGAAAATACAAATGGGTGTCTACCAGGGATTGGCCCCAATTACTGTTTCATGGCCCCTTCTGCGCTGTTTTCTTAAAAAGCAGTATAATATCACTTTAAATATTCATGGCTCCTCCAAAGGAATCCTGGGAACTGGATCCTGGAAGACCCCCATTCCCTCACAATTCTCAGAGTGATTTACCAATCAATCCCGGTGTTTCCCAACACCTCTCAGCAAACTTTTAATTCCCAGGATTCTTTGATGGCCATGAGTGCTCAAAGTAGCATGATAGTGCTTTCCATGTTTGGTGTGGACAGGACCATATCTAGAATTCAAATCATTAGATACTCACAGGTTTCCATAGCAACTTTGAGCGTGGGTGGGTGGGGTGGGCTGGCAGTGGAGGAAAGCATTTTAACTCCACTGCAGTATTTATTAAGCATTTTCCTGTTGCCTTAAAAAATATACAGGGTTGCTGTCAAATCAGGGGTATGAGAACCAGTTGCCCTGGATATGTTGTCGAACTAAAACTCCCATCATTCCTGACTAGTGGTCATGCTGGCTGGGGTTGATTGAAGTTGAATCCAACAGCACCTGGAAGGCCACAGACTTACCATATGTGGTATAGGCAAGTGGCCAAAAGCTTAATTTTGTTTTTACGATGGCCTCTTTAGAAAGGAATGACACATTTAAACATCAGCAAATTGGCATGTTCCATACCAAAGGCTGAGTTCACTGGGCCAGGGTCAGTTTAAAAGAGACGCACATCTGTCAGAGCAGAATTGCCATCCTTTTGATGGCTTCATAACTTTAATGCCTTCAAGATGGGCAGAAACTCTTCTCACCACCGTATGTCCTGATCTATCCCCAACCATTCATGCTCTAGTTAGGCAGCTCTGTAACACAGTCTTGGGGGGGGGGGAGGGGGCTGTTCCATGAATAGGTTGTCTGAAAGAGCCCTGAGTTATTTAGTATTCATTTGACTTGGAAGTCAAAGTTATTGACTAAAAGCCATGCTTGAAATCCAAAACTGAGCTACGAGGGAACCACACACAGTACCTGCAAACTCTGCCAGGGTATGAGTCAAAGTTGGGCATTCTTTCATTAGACGACAGAACTTTAAATTTATGAACTTGAACAAACTCATTAGATTCATCCTGAATTTGCAGTTTTAAAAAATGTGGCCAAGTAACAGAAGAGCTAGTTTCTGCAGTGTACAGGGGCGGGGGCTCCCCACCACTCGTGTAGCATACAGGTGTTAGATATGACAGCTGTTAATTCCTCATTTATTCACTCATGTAGGTCAAGTGTCTGAGTCTGTGACCTCAAGGTTAGAACAAGAAAAGGAGGAGAGTCACAGGAAAGCTGAGAATTTCCCTGCAAAACAAGGACTCATTATATAACTGAAAAGCCACACAAAAGGTTGGCTGTGTTTGTAAGAGCAATTGCCTCCCACTTCCGCAGAGTGCCGAGTTCAGTTTAGCACAACGGGATGTGCAGGTGATAAGCATTTTTAAACATCCGGCTCTATTTAAATGTCTATTAGGAAGTGGGGAGGGGGTTGCTGCTGCTGCTACTGCTGCTTCTTTTGGAAAATCTTTTCCTCACCAACAATGGGAAGTTGAGAAATAAACACTGCAGCAAGCAAAATCTGTGTAATATAACAGTTGCAGAACAGACTGCTGTGGGGGTGTGGAAGGGGAAAACCAACTTTCATTTTTTATTTTTTTGTCCCAATCATGGTCTGTATAACAAGGTGGGAGCATACAGCTCAGCATGTGATGGCTATTCAAAAGTTGACTCCATGGCAGCTCTAATCATGTGGAAGTTCAGTCACTAAATAACCTCTTGACTATATGATGAATCAAGCCTGCCTGCACTTCCTAATGATGGAAAGCAGTGTTCAATATGAAATTATTGAGCTTAGCAGAGAGCAAGTTTTGCCTGAAGCTTCACTTCTTCTGCAAAGGTAAGCCCAGTCTCGCTTATCTTCTAGTTCTTCAAGAGTATCAACAAGCTTGTGAATTGAGGTGGTCCAATAAGCACTGCATACTTCGACTTTCAAAAAGCCTTTGACAAATTGTCACTTCTCAGACCTTCTGGAACTTACATCATTTGATAGCAAAATAGCTGCCTAATAATGAGCCTGATCCATTACCGGCAGTGGTTCAGCATTTCAGGCAGGGGGCATTCCCAGTCCTACCTGTAGATGTCAAAGATTGAAACTGGGACCTTCTGCATGCAATTTTTGTTTCATAATAACAAGGCTCATAATTAGTTGGCTTTAATTACCAGGAGCTGGCAATTATTGCTATTGAGATGATCCCAAGACAGAGTAAACTGGCAGGTATTCATTAACTATAACCATCACTGCAGCCCCCTAGATAAGAATAACTTTGCAACTAATGATTGAATGGAAATTTGCATCCTTTGCTTTGTTTTTGGTAGTGTTACCAGTACCTTGCATCTCTCTCTCCCTCTGATACTCTATTACTACTTGGCTGCTATGCCATTGGGGATTTGCACCAAGAACAGATACTTCAGGGTTAACTTTTCAGTGGCTTCTTTTTTGAGTGGGAGGATATGTTGCTAAGTTCCCCCTTTCCTAATTGTTTTTTAAGTTGATTCTAGCAGTCAAGATTCCAGAGTCTGCATAGACTGTGGGAGAGATGCCCATTATACTAGAACACTTCAACATCATCAAACTGCTGCCAACAATGTTTCCTGTGGAAAATTGGTTTTAATCTTGTGTTATTCCTCCAAACCCAGATGTTCAGGATCCTGTTAGGTGATTCTTAGCCCAACTGGGGTCATGCCTAGTCTATAAGTACTATGGCATCATGCCCAGAACGCCACGTAATGAGATGTACTCTACTGTTCTGTACTATCCAGGAAGATTCTCTGAAATAGATCTAAGCAGTAGGTAATTTAAGATGACACCTGTTATATAAGTGCTGAATTGTCATTACTAATTCCTAGTGTACAGAGACCTTGGATGCTTTTTATTTTACATTTAATTTCTCTCTCTCTTATTAAAAAATGGCTTAAACGTCCTTTAAAAATTGGATCTAGTACACCCAATTTGAGTCACACAACTCAAACAGATTTATTTTTTGGTGTGTGTGTGTGTAATTTGTTGTATATATTTCAACAATCCTAAAGTTTAAGAGTTAGTAGCCCAGCTGTTGTAAAGGTTGTAAACAACCACATTGAAGAAGGTAAAAGTGGTTACCCAGACCTCCTTACTGGTTGCGAAGAGGCCCCCATAACAGTTCAAGCTTCAGAGCTCCAAAAATGTAGGTCCACCACTGCCTACTGTATAAAGGTAAATTGGTATCCATTGCTCTACCCAACACTGGCATGTGACCCCTGGAAAGTTACAGTTGGGCTGAAGAAGCTCCCCCACACTTGCCTTACAGGATCTCTGACATGGAAGGCTGAGGCCACCCAATGTCTGATATGGACCCCCTGCTTCTGCCACCTCCCTTTGCTGCAACAGTGTCCACTTTGCTTTCCTTTTCCCATAGGCATGGATGGCAGCAATTCATTTATAAGCAACATGTACGCAGCCAGTGCTTTTTTTCTGGGGGTACACAGGGGAAGGCATCCCCCTAAACATTTTGTGAATCTAAATTTGACCTCATTGAGGGGCAGTATTTCAATATAAGTAGGAAAAAGACAGTGCCCCTAAACATTTTCTTAGAAAAAAAGCACTGTACAGCATATAAGCTACAGTGTGTGTGTGTGTGTGAGAGAGAGAGAGAGAGAGAGAGAGAGAGAGAGAGAGACAGAGAGAAACTATTTGTCTATTATTACCATAATAACCCCAAATGTTGAGAATCAAGCTGGCTCTTTTCTGCATAACTCTGCCTTCTCATCTTCATCTAGAGCTCCTTCATTAGTCATACTGGTCATGCTAAACACTTTTGGCACTGGCTTTGAAAAAGATTAGAAAGAAAGAGAGAGAAGCACAAGGGTTTTTTTTGTATGATCCAGTATGTCTTGGAAGAATCATATAAACATACAAAGTTGCCCCATAGCTGAGTGGTCTAACAGTGGTACTCCAGGGTTTCCAACAAAGGTTGTTCCCAGATCTTTGTGGGTGGAGAAAGCAGGGATCAAAAAGGTTCCAGCATTGCAGGGGGGTGGACTAGATGTACAATCTTTGGGGTAGTATGTTCTGGGCCCGTATCACCAGTTGCTTCAGTTTCATCATGGGGAAGCCATGCACCTAGTGTAGGAAGAACAAAATGGCACACAACAGTGCTGCTAGTGAACCTAACGTGGTTCAGTCATTGGCACCACAATTGCATTGGATGCAGTGCTGAGTTTATTGGCAACTTGATTATTTGACTGATCCATAGCTGCGCAGGCACTGGGCGTTACATGAACACCATGGTACAATTAGGGCGGATCTGGCTCACAAATCTGTATTAGAACACATTCAGAGTCAGCAGCCCATGACTGTAAAGTGGGGATTAACATATCTTAGAATGGCTTACTCTGTGGTATCAGAAAGCATAAACAGCACCACGTAATGCCAATGATGAATATGAAGTTTTGAAATATTCTACTAATTATGGGCATAAAAGTACTTTGGAGACTGATAACAACTCTGCGAGACTGTCAAGAGTTCCAAAAAGGATCTGAAAACTCACAGCAACACGTTTGTTGGCTCAGCTTCCCAAACATGTGCAACTTAGTCATGTCCACCCATTTGCCCTGAATCCCTGATATTATAACAACAACATCCTTTGCTTCTGCACTTCAGTCTCTGCAAGCTCTTTGGGGTGGAAGTCACAAGCTTCTTGCACTTGAGCCTTGTGCTGTGTGGGGGGTCTATGCCTGGCAGATGTTAAACAATGATTTTTTTTCAATAAAAAAAAATAGCCCACCTGGAGTAGGCAGCCTGGGATCTTCTCTGAAGTGAAACTTGATGCTTTTCAGCAAAGACACACCTCTTTCAGGGTGTTGTGCAAATTTCTCTATTTTAAACGTAGGGACAGGAAATATGAAATGGGACAGCCAGGATCCAAAGATCACGTAGGCCGAAGTTTATCAACTCTTGACAAACAGTAAATCAGAGGCTTATGATGGAGCTGTTACCACGAGTACCCTGAATTGTCAGAAGGTTGGACATTTGGGCAAGTTGCTGCCTCTATGCTACCAGGTTTTTGCAGCATAGACATTGCTCCCTCTGTCTGGAACAGCTCTGCAGGGCTTTTTTTCCCTCCTCCTCCTTGCTTCTCATGCTTGATTATTTCCTGACTCTGCAGTGGGATGGGTCTGCTGCAAAAGATTCTGGTTCTTTTTGCAGGACTGATCTTGGCCTTCTTTTTTTATTCGGGAAATGAAGACTTTAAGCCGGGTAAGTTGTTGTTGTTTTTAAGTAAAGACATTTTAAAATAAAAGCAGGGGGGAGACGGAGGGGGAGAAAGAGAAAGGAGTCACACTGGAATGGTTTTTATACAGGAACTGGTGCAAGCCTAAAAAGAAACATGTCTGGGCGTTGCTTGCATTGCCGATAATAGAAGGCTTTGCTTGGCAAGCCTTTGAAATACATCATGCAACAGGCAGGGCTATTTTTTTTCTCTTCCTGCAAACAGGTGTGGTTAGGAGGCTTGCCATTTGGATTCTCCAACAGCCTTTCATATTCTGTCTATTTCGAAAAGGATTGGGCTTTCTTTAAAGTTGCTTAATTGTACAATTGCTTCAAAAACTTCAAGAAAGCTGAACGTATGAAGTGGCTTGAAAAAGAAATGCATGTTCATGTTTAATTAGAGTAAAATAACAACAACAACAACAAAAATAAATGGCTGTCTTGGCATTTTGCATCCTTTTTGGAATGTTAGTAATTCTTATGACTGCTGGTTTCTTGGGAGAAGAATGCAGATTAGACTGGAAGATTGTTGGGACTGGGCAACTGATCGGCAGGCAGAAATGGCTGTTTCTCTTCTTGAGCTTCTTGTCCTTTTAGAGACTGATTTAGGATTGGGTGGTGTGTTTAATGTGATCTTTATAAATGGCTGTCCCTATATCTTGCTCTCCAGAAATGCTGAAAGGGAAGCGTGTGATTGTTACTGGGGCAAGCACTGGAATCGGTGAGCAGATGGCATACCACCTGGCACGCATGGGCTCCCACATACTGATCACTGCGCGAACAGAAGCCAAGCTCCAGAAAGTAAATGTCATATACTCATATATGCATGCCTTTTACTGGGCATGCTTCTGTAGAGTCACCTGCACACACAGGTGATAGATAATGTGTAACCCCATGAATGTAAAATTCATATTTATGTGCATTGGGATAAACATTCACATACGGGTGACGATAAATTGCTAAACCTGACAGGAAGGAAGGGAGAGTCGTATGCTTTACTAAAATTCAGATTTATATAAATTTATTTATTTCCAGATGCAATTTAGGTTTTGCAGTTTTACCACCAGCAGAGTGTGAATGCATGTCTCAATTTACAGGAATATCAATTTACAGGAATATCAATGCATTTGCTCATAAAAATGGAAGAGAGAGGCAGTAGGTGCCGTTAAAGAAGTGTGACTCATGGGGAAAGGGATCCACATATAAGGGCATTCAAAAATTATGAAAGAAAAGATAAAAATTTGGAGAATTCCTGGTGGGTTGCATGCAGGCCTTTTCTTGTGCTTACATTACTTTCAGGTTGGTTATGGGATGTTTCTGAGCATTTTTCCCCTTTCATTCTGCAAATCCTCTCTCCAGTGGTCTGTACTCTGCAGCATTCCTGGGTGCCTGCATTTCCTGAAAAAGCCATGATGTCCTTGGCTGCACTTTTCTGTAAGCATGGGAAAGCGGGGAGGCTCCTGGCAGCTATTGGCTGTTGCTGTTTGAAAAGTAAAGGGTTTTAATTTTATTTTTTCCTTTTAAAGAAACCATTGAAAAATGATTTTTAAAGGACTTCCTTCAAAAAACAAAACAAAAAAAAACACCAAATCAGTGATCACACTGTTCTCTGTGCCTTGGCAGCGAGCCCTCCTGGCTTCCTATGTTTCAATTCAAACTCAGGGGAAGAAATCATGCAGTAACATCCCCCCATGGGCCTTTACCAGATCAGGAAGTGCAGGCTGCTGGGAAGACTGTGGAGCTCTGGAGAAACATTTCATGGAAAGAAAAACACAAGACGCACCCACAGCCACTTTGCAGTGATAAGATAAGCCTGACCCCTCATCCACTCAAATTCTAAATCCTAAAGTGAGAAAGAGGCGGGACGGTGGAAGTCTCTTCTGCAATGGAAGAATACTTTTTCAGAACCTGAAGAACAGAGAGTTCAGTACACAGCACTAGGAAAAACCACCCAAGGGTCACCATGCATGTCAATAATGACAAACAGCAGTGTGAGAAGCACAGATGTGGGAAGATTATTGCCCTAGAGTGGAAAAAGAAACAACGCAGGAGGTTTTATAGACAATAGACAATAGCAACCCACACAGCGACTTGAAATGCTGGAACTCAACTCCATTTGTTCCTATTTGCACCCTTAGCCAGGCAAGAAGAGGCAGTGTGTATTAGGTTCATTAAGGGCCACAACTTTATTTGTGTTTTATACAACAAATTCACAGTGAGACTGGAAGCTGTGCAGCCCTAAGGCCTGCCCCTCCTAACCTGAATTGTTCACATTGCCCCCGACATACACATATTTGTATGCAACGTCGCCTAATATCTTTTGAAGGATTTTCTCCCAACATTTTAGAGCATTCGGGCTCATCCTGCCATGATCACACAGAACTGTGGGCATTGCCTCTGCTTCGCTTCTGGCCACTAAGCCAAGCTGATGAAATTGCACTGTCTGAGTAGAGAACAGGGCATTGGCAATGCTATTATCCAATTCTGGGACATGGCAGGCAAGAAGCAGTACTTTAAAGATAAGGCACCATAGTGTAAATGACTTCACCAAAACCTTCTGATTTCAGAGTTAGGAGATTAACAACATGCCCTTTTGCAAGATTGTCAAGCCAGAAATGGGACATGGAGTTGGCGAACAATCAGACACTGCCATCATTTCAAAGAATTCTAAAAATCTAAGGTCCTGTGATTGCATGTTAGAGCGGGATGGGAATGCCTATTGGCCTGCTTCTTGGTTGGTTGCCTTTGCCATTAATCCAGGCGTAGGCAAACTCAGCCCTCCAGATGTTTTGGGACTACAACTCCCATCATCCCTAGCTAACAGGACCAGTAGTCAGGGATGATGGGAGTTGTAGTCCCAAAACATCTGGAGGGCTGAGTTTGTCTATGCCTGCATTAATCTATACCTTCTTGAGACACATTAAGTTTAACAACATCCAGCAATATCAGTCCCTGGACCCTTATGCTCCACAAGTAGCTATATTTTCCCCAAACCCCAGTTGCGCTAGAACAACTGTTTACAGGGGGAGTTAACCACCAAGGACGCAGGGGGTTAAGCCTGGGACCTTTTGCCAGTGTAATCTGTGCATTAGCACTGAGCCAATGCCTGCTTGGAGCTGTTAGGATAGTGTTGGTGCAGCCAAAGTATTGCAACACAGGAGGGGGGGAAACCTCTTTGCCAGCAGCACCCAACATGCTCCATCACTCACTGCAAAGTCAAGGAAGAAGGGCTGGTGAGGGGTGGAGTGATTCCTTCATTGATGTGGCTTCAGCCTTGAAGCTGGTGTGCCCACTTGCATGCATGCATCTGCAAGTCTAGTGTCGAGCTTGCTTCTTTCTGGCACGGGCGCACTGCCTTTCCTCCAGCCACTCATGGGAACACAGGAAGTTGCCACTGGTCCATCTAGCTCAGCACTGTCTCCATCAGGGATAGCCAGCATGGAGCCCTCCAGATCATCCTTGAACATCCATCATCCTTGAACATTGGATGATGGGATCTGTAGCCAACATCTGTTGGGGGCAGCACATTGACTACCCCAGCTGTTGTTCAACTACAACTCCCATCATCCCTCACTAGCAGGACCAGTGGTCGTGGATGATGGGAATTGTAGTTCAAAAAACAGCTAGAGACCCAAGTCTGGGAAACCCTGCACCAGACTTTCAGCCTAGCAAGTTTTGGCAGAAGTGGGTCCAAGCTAGGGATCTTTATCTTTGTACACTGACTGAATTACTTAACAGAAAAAGTAACAAAGCCTATGATAGGGTTAACTAACTGCAACTACGGCAGCACTCTATGCTTAGTACATACTTATGCATCACCTTTGCTTAGACTTTAATAGCCTTTATATTTAAATTATTTGTTATATTGTAAAGAAGAATGCAAAAACTAGGTACCAGTGACACTTACAATTAAGTCTGTCAAACTGGAATAATGAAGAGGATTTTCCACCTGCCCTGATTATAGAAAATCCAATGGTCTCCTGAATATTGTTGCAGACTTTAAAATGCAGCTCTTGCTCAATACAAAATATGGTCATGATTACAGACACATTTTTAGGACTTCCAATACATTTGTAAAAGCAAGCTAGAAGCCTGATATGGCTGTGACAGCAGCTGTTGCGGTGACACCAGTAAGGGATAAAGTTATAAAGCCAGAGCCCATACCCAGAATTTGCAAGTTCATTTTAAGAATGTTCAAGCCCATTTTGCTTCATTTTGATTTTTACAAACGAGAAATTTGGTGTTCTTGCAGCTGGAAACTTTGATGAAGCTGCTTTTTCCATTGGAAATTCCCCACTAATAATGCTGACCCTTTAAGCACACAGCCTCCACCCCACCCCCGAAAAAATGTTGTGCTCAGAGTATTCTGGTAAGCTGAACTAGCCAGCTGTTTCCTTGCAATGCTGCATAACATAGGAATTTAATTTGCTGGGATGCAAAAGGGGCTGAAAGGGCAACGAGCCTCCAGAATTCTCCTTTCCTCTTTCTTTCAGGTGGTTGCTCAGTGCTTGGAGCTGGGGGCAGCATCTGCCAGCTACATAAATGGCAGCATGGAAGACATGGCATTCGCTCAGTCTGTGGTGAAGAAAGCAGAGGAATTGTGGGGTATGCTTACTTTATAAGGACATCAGAAGTGCTGTGCTGGATCAGACCAAAAGCCCATCAAGTCCAGGGCCCTGTTTGCCACAGTGGTCAACTAATAATAATAATAATAATTAATACCTTTATTGTCAATGTACAACCTGTGTACAATGAAATTAACCGAGCCTCCCCCCCCGACAAACACTCAATCTCATTGCAGTCTGTGTGCTTGTCACACAACACACCAACCCCGAATGTCAGTTGCACTATATTATTTTCCATTCAGCAGCCTAACAGCCCATGGATAGAAACTGTTTTTTAGCCTGTTGATATGACTGATTATACTTCTATATCTCCTACCCGAAGGTAGAAGATTAAAGAGGTGCTGGCTGGGGTGTGAATCATCCCTGAGAATTTTTCTTGCTCTCCTAAGGCAACGATCCCTTGCGATGTCATCTAGCGGGCTCAGGGAACAGCCCATGATATCATGTGCTGTGTTCACCACCCTCTGTAAAGACTTTGTGTCCGTGGCTGTCAAGCCAACATACCACACTGTGATACAATATGAGAGGACACTTTCTACTGTGGACCAGTAGAAGGAGGTCATCAGCTGTTGTTTAACACTGTTCTTTTGCAAGACCCTGAGAAAATCGAGTCTCTGTTGGGCCTTCCTAACCACCTGAGTTATATTGTTTTTCCAAGTGAGGTCTTCACTAAGGTAAACTCCCAGGAATTTAAAGGAAGAGACTCTCTCCACACCAGATACCCATAGGGAGCTCATACGCAGGACATGAAGATAATAGCCCTCTCCCACTCATGATCTCATCAATCAATATTCAGGGGTAGACTGCCACAGAACCTGGAGCTTCTACACAGCCATCATAAATTGATAGCCTTATCCTCCATAATGGATTGTTTGGTCACCTTTTAAAGCTGTCCAAGTTGGTGATCATTCATCACTACATCTTGTAGCAACAAATTCCAGAAATTAATAGTGGAAAGTTTAGTGGGTCAGAGCAATGCAGGAAACTCAACCCTGCCATCAAGTGCCTCGCAACTCACTCCTGCTGTATGTCTGTCCACACTGGCGCAGCACCTATGGGTGCTTCCAGGAGGTGTTTATTGTGGGATGAGCACTCCCCGTAGCTGCAGATTTTTCACAGCATCCACATTGGCACCAGTGCCAGCCTGTTCTCCTCTATTTAATCTAAGTGCATCCTTTCTAAGGAAAATAAAACCTGTTACCAACATCGTTAGAATATTAAGGCCTTGTGTGGAAGTGCTGTGTATTACGAGTAGAGAAAAGAAGAATCCCAAAATCATCCCTGTAAAAGCGTGGGAGGATAACGGACAAAACACTGGAATGCAGTGCTTATCTGTATTCCCTGTAATATATGAATGAATAAAATATTCCAGGGGAAAGGCAAGTTTGGAAGCAACCTGAATCTCACACAATCACTCAATTTGAAGAGATTCTTCTAAACCTGCTCCTCACAGTCCACTTGGATTTTCACTATGCTGAATACTGTAATTTGGTATCATTCACAACCTTGGTCACCGCAATGCTCACCCTGACTCCAAATCATAATAATGTGTTCCAATAGAACTCCTTGGTGGAACACTAGACTACTTACTCCCCTGTTTTTGTTAAAACTGCCCTTTTATGCCTAATATTTAGCTAATTAACACATACTACTATGCTGTGGCTTTGGTGAAGTACTTAATCAAAGAAAAGATGTCCTGAAATCTTCAGTTCCAAAATGGCCACTACCATAGTAGTATAAGCATCACTCATTAACCTGATAGAGAAAGCTAGTCCAAGTTCTGCTATGCTATTAAGTGCTCTTAAAGCTTTCCAAAGCTTTCCAAAGCTTTAAGCTCTGTTTTTGATTCTCATGGGCTGCAACTCTCTGTGAATCAGGAATGTGGAGCCTTCTGGCCCAGTACGACCCCAGTTGCTCACACTCATCAAACCATTTTGCAGAAGCTTTTGTGACATGATTGCATGGCTGACACACTGGGAACTGAACCATGGACCTCCCTAGCTAGAAGCACACAACTGGAAGTACTCCAAATCTACCTGAAGAGTTTGGCTCCAGTGTGAAGTGTTAACAGCCTTATATGCCCTGAATCAGGCACAGGCTTGTACGGAGCATCATAACTCACTGAAATATAGATGGCCTGATAGAAAACCTTGCCCAGCCTTACCTCTGCTGCAGATCAGAGCTAGATCACACCCAGGAAAATGTGAATCATTGCTTCAGGGTTGTCATTCTAACATTGTTTCCTTGAGATAACAAGCCTGTTGCAAGCACAAGCTGAGTCCAGAAACTCTGGACCAAACGCAGGAAAAAATGGCAGTGACACAGCTGAGTCCTTCAGTTAGGCACCTCAAGTTATGCAGACACATGGGTTGGAACCAGGAATCCAAGTATCTCTTATTTTAGGAATTAAACAGCATTGCTAGGATAGCTGATCAAGACAAACAATTCTAACAACTCTTTCTGTTTTCAGGAGGTCTAGATATGCTTATTCTGAATCATGTTAGCCCTGCCTTCTTAAGCTATTTCAATAGTGATGTTGCGTATATGCAAAAGGTCCTGAATATCAATTTCTTAAGCTATGTGACCATGACAGTTGCATCTCTTCCCATGCTTAAGAACAGCGGAGGAAGCCTCGTAGTGGTTTCATCCTTGGCAGGTGAGTACAAACAGCATTTGTGTGAAGTAGCTCTCAGCGGCCTCAGAGCCTTAGAGCTCCTTAAAACATTTCTGAATTTCCTGCTATGATAGCCGTGCATGTTGATGACTGTGAACATATATGACTGCACACTCAGCTGGTTGCAGCTTCCAATTATGCACACCCTCAGCCAACTCCAAAAAAGATCACGTGTGGTGATCAACTCACATCTTTAATGTGTTTTCTTACCTGAAATGCTCCCATTAATGAAAAAAACCATCTCTGAGCTGCTCACCTTGTTAAGCAATAGCAAGGCTAGGGAATTTTCCATAACAGTGACTCTGGTGACTGTTCTCCTTTGTAGCGTGCAAAACAAACCGAGTGTGAATTATATGGATGGGTCTACTCAATTCTTCCTTTGGCACTTCTGCAAGGATGCCCTCTAGTCCCTTCTCCTCTCTCTCTGCTTGTGAGACAGGCCAGGGGTCTAATTTTTGAGTGTCTCCTGCCACAGCTCAGAGAAGGGTATCCAAGTGTTCTACTATTGGTATCTCAATTGAATTTCATATATTCATAATAATCCTCATAGCAGCTTTACCCTAGCACAGGGGACGGGAATCTATAGTCCACCAGGTGTTGCTAGACTACAACTCCCATCAACCTTAGGTCCCGGTCAGGATGGCTAAGGGACAGGGATGATGGGAGTTGTAGTCCAGCAACCTCTGGAGGACTAAACTTTCTTCACTTGTGCCTAAGCATTTGACAGGATCTCCGGGCCACAGTCAGGCAGCCTTGTGCTTTTATTAAGTATGGTTCTGTACAATTCTTCATTGCATTTCTATCAGAATGTTTCTGTTCTGCTTTAAAATTTCACAGGCTATAATCAGAGTTGCATATAACTGCTAATATACAAAACAGCCCTATAGGGGGGGTGGGGAGGGAGAAACAGTTCATCTTGAGAGCTTTGAAAGATATGCAATATCTTTTTAAAAATTCTTACAAGGTCCAGTTATGCCATAAGTTCAAGTTTCTGAGTGCTTACATAACTTGGAAACATTTTATAAACAAAATAATAAGTAAACAAATGGAAGCAGGAAGGGGGAAAATATCTCTCACAGAGATGCAAGCAATGCTGGTTTTACTTTGCCACCTGCAGGATTAAAGTGGAATTTACCCATGACTGTACTATTGCTATACTGTATTTGCAGGCAAAGTTGCATTCCCATTCACTGTTTACTATTCTGCAACAAAATTTGCCCTGGATGGGTTTTTCAGCTCCTTGAGGCAAGAATTTGCCATGACGAACACCAACGTTTCCATCACACTCTGCGTCCTTGGACTCATCGATACAGGTACAATTTAACATTTTGAAACCTGACTATAAGGACCTGGTTTTCATTGGCAGGTTTGTGCTGTGCTCAAAATACTTCAGATCTCAACTTCAACAATGTGAACGTAAATATGGAACGTTTGTTCTTTGCCTTTTTTCTTATCTAAAACACCATAGATTGTAATGCCATGAAATTGTCAAGAAACGTCTTCTGAAGTAGGGCTTGCCCATAAATTATGTTTGGACAGTGAAGCCAATGGATAAGGCGTGCAAATTGCTTCTGAACTGAATATGCAAACTTTTGCATTAATGATGAAGTGTTATTTCTAACTCAAAAGCATCCATTTGCATCAGTAGAATATAAAATGGTTCCTCAGTTCTTCTCTATATATCATATATTATTTAGAAGAGAAGGAACAGTGCTGAAGAGAAGAGGGCAATGTTTAACGGTACATTTCTAGGTCTGGAATTGACTGTGAGCTTTCCTTCCCTCCAAACCATGTGAGCTTCTTCGACTTCCTTTTACATAGAGACCCTTTTACATAAACACACACTTGCACATGCAACGGCACAAAGACACAAGAGTTACCATTGGAAACAGCCAGCGCATGTAACTCAAAATTCCTGAGAACTTGAAAGAGTGATTTCTAACAAATCACTTGTCTAATGCACAAGTTGTAGGGATCCACTTGGGCAAAACCATGACCGGATGGCAACCACCACAAGCTGTAATGTTTCATCCTATGAAGGCAGTGCCAAATATGGTCTACGGTACACTCCTGATGTGGAAACTGCCACTGCAATTAGTCATCTGAATTCCTCTGAAATCGTCTATTCTCACATACCACCCCCACACACTTGGAAATTCAGTGATGCACTACAGTGGTACCTCGGGTTAAGTACTTAATTCGTTCCGGAGGTCTGTACTTAACCTGAAACTGTTCTTAACCTGAAGCACCACTTTAGCTAATGGGGCCTCCTGCTGCTGCCGCACCGCCGGAGCACAATTTCTGTTCTCATCCTGAAGCAAAGTTCTTAACCTGAAGCAATATTTCTGGGTTAACGGAGTCTGTAACCTGAAGTGTATGTAACCTGAAGCGTATGTAACCCAAGGTACCACGGTATTTAGTGGAAACAAAGCCAGGCAAAGTTTCTTACCAGCTTCACTAAGTCTGCAATCCTTTACACATTTATCTGAGGCTGAGCCCCATTAAACCTAATGGGGTTTACTTCTGAGTAGACAGGTATAAGCAGGGGTAGACAATCTAAGGCCTGTGGGCTGGATCGCCTTCTCAATCCGGCCCGCAGATGGTCCAGGAATCAGTGTGTTTTTACATGAGTAGAATGTGTCCTTTTATTTAAAATGCATCTCTGGGTTATTTGTGGGGCATAGGAATTCATTCATTTCCCCCCTCCCCCCCCCCAAAAAAATATAGTCCGGCCCACCACATGGTCTGAGGGATGGTGGACCGGTCCACGGCTGAAAAAGGTTGCTGATCCCTGGGTATAATTCACTCTGCCCAGTAGGCACTTGTTGACTGACTTCTTGAACAGAGGGTACCTACTTAACTCGAGCTCCTTTTCTTCCCTTAGAAACGGCCATGAAAGCAGTTTCTGGAGTGGTCCAGATCTCTGCAGCACCAAAGGAGGAATGTGCACTGGAAATCATTAAGGGAGGAGCCCTGCGCCAAAGGGAGATTTATTATGAATATTTCTCTACAAGAATCCCTTTATTGATCCGGGACTGGGCTCCAAATCTCCTGGATTATATCATTCAGAGGAATTATAACATTGAAAAACTGAAAGATTAACTGCTCTTTAGCTTTTCTTATTTTATATATTAGCCACACTGAGTCCCTGTCAGGGAAAAAGGCGGGGTATAAATAAATAAATATAATAGCACCTAGAACTTAAGAGCACTGAGAACTTAGTGCACTTGGAAATAAAGCTCTGCCCAAATTTCAGTTTTGGCACCCACATCCAAAAATCAAATGTGAAAATTTGAAGTCTTCGGGGTTCATTTTTGACAGAGCTGGTTTTGCTTATAAAAAGGTAAAGTTATAGGTCTGTATCCAAAGATGTCACTCAACTGACTGTAAGTCTTCCATTGATAGAGGAGGGAAGGGAGGGCTTTTTATGACAGCACCGCCTCCCAATCTGCATTCCCCCTCCCAATCTGCTGTGAGACCCTTCAGAGTAGATTTAGGGAGGCATGGGGATTAGAAGAAGGAAATTGATTTCCTTACTATATCACTTATGGAAGCCTTGTTGTCAGTTGAGAAACGACGATTGATACATCCCATGAGGTTTTGCACTTTAAAAAATAAACCAACAAAGAAACACTGAACTACCTAAATCCATATTTGAAAATGTTGTAAAAAAATGTGTCAGGGAAATATAAAGTTGATTTCTTGCAAGAAACTGTCTCCAAAATTTTAGCTCTAGCTGCCCAGAATGGGTACAAGGAGACGTAAAATTAAAGCTATATGTAAATATGTCTTTATATTGCTTTCCCTCCTCCCTCCAGAAAAAAAGACATTATTTCATTTTTAAAACCTGATCTTTAAAGTTATAACATACATATTATGCTACTGACTATATTAAGGGATGGTTTTGTATTTATGGCCTTTTAAGCAATGTTTTTTGTGCAGCCAATGGCTCCCCCATCTGGTGGATTAGATTCACAGGCACCACATTGATCTGAGCACATGCCAGCGAGCTGAAACTAGGGCATGGCAGCTCTTGAAACCATGCTGTGCTTTAATATATTGCTTCTGCGTAAGAATTGTCTACTTTTAAAACTACTGTTATATAATCTTGTTGGTCGTTTATTTGAAGGGGGAAGCAAGTTACACCACAGTTTAGCATTATTCAGGAAAACCTAACTGTAAATATGAGAAAATACTCTATTGTCCCACAGCCCCCACCACTCTGGAATGCCCTCCCATTAGGGATTCCTGTATTTGAGCCCTACTTATTTTAGCCACTGTTCATTAGGTTGGCAATGTTCCTGATGTTACTATGGTTGATCTTTGTCTAGATTTGTCTCTAACCGTTGCTAAATAGCCACGTGGCATCTTGATCTCAAGCTATCCTCTCCTCTCCAGAGAGTAAATATCATTATTAGGAAATGCACCTTATTTCAGAGTATTCTTGTCCCAGCAAATAGGCTTCCTATTCAGAGATTCAAATGAAGTAACTCCTATGGACTGCCAGTTCCTATCCCCTGAATGACCAATATCTCATTCAAAGACTGACATTGCTCCTTAAAGTATTAGGTGATTATATTTGAATAGAAAATGCAATGCTGCTTAATTAATTTACCCCTACATTCAGAAAGATTGTAACCCTCACTGTGAAGTCCAGGAACCATAAGGGGAAAGAGCAGTTTCCTGATTCTCAGAAATATTAGGCATCCAGCAGTTTTTGTTCTGTCACATTTCTCCTAAAAGCTCAGCATGAGAAATGAGCTGTATTGAAAACACAGCTCTTCTCATTTTATTGTATCAAAGGCTTAGCTTAGGCAAATTGTTAGACTTGCAGCCTGAAAGCTTTCCTCATCAGGACACAAAATTATTTTAAGCTTCTCCAACTGAGACTGCGTAGAAATGAAGACAAATTGTTGGGCAAAGCTTGCTATTTGAACCCAGATGAACACAGAGCCAGATGAATCAGTGCAAAAGGGATTGATGCATGGGTTCATGGCAAAATGTGAAGGATTTTAAAGAAGAAGGGAAGGCCTAGAAAATGAAAGGGTTTGTTCTGTTGTCCCCCAGCACAGTAAAATCAATACAAGTTTGAAGCTGTACAACTATAATTTGTCCTATTGGTGAGGTCAGAGATGAGAGGCATACGTTGTCTTCTGACACCATCAAAACAAATAAAATCTCAGTTTGGTGGCAACCGGGGAAAATTTCCTGTCTGCTGTACAGGCATGGAGGAGAAACTTGATTAGCCAAACTTCCCCGATTCTCACCCTCTGGAACCATTTGCAAACTAAAACACAACCATGCTTCAAAATTCACACTTTCCAAATTTTGTGGTGCAGTTCTCCAGCTAAGTAATGTGTACAAAAATGCACATAGTAGGGTAAAGTGTGAATAACAATACATCTATTGGTGAAAATAAGATACAGTGGTACCTCGGGTTAAGTACTCAGTTCGTTCCGGAGGTCTGTTCTTAACCTGAAACTGTTCTTAACCTGAAGCATCACTTTAGCTAATGGGGCCTCCTCCTTACCCGAGGTAATATTTTTGGGTTAGCAGAGTCTGTAACCTGAAGCATATGTAACCTGAAGCATATGTAACCCAAGGTACCACTGTACAAAATTGCATTATATTAGCAGAAGTTGTTTTGTTTGTTTGTTCCGGAGCATTCCTAGCAAAAACTCTGCTCAGAGACAGAGCTTTTAAGTGCGGACCTGTGCCTGGAAAGAGCAGGGCAAAGGGTAAGCGTGGATAAGCCCTATATTAAGCAAAATTCACACAAAAATGTTGATGAATTTTCATGAGGACTTATTTTGAAAAAATGCAAATTGACTTGGAAGTGTAAAGAACTGAGCTGAAAAATGGAAAATCAGAAGCCAAGAGAAACCAGATTAACATCTTCACCCATTCCTACTCCCATATCACCTATTTATGCTGTCAAATCAAGACTCACTTCACTTTAGAGCACCCCAAATTTTACAGTAATAATATTTACAATACTACAATACTAATGTTATCACCTTGTTTGTTTGCCACTCTTGCCAGCCATTTCTAAGCTCTGCCTCTAGAGTTCGTTTTCCAATATTCATGACTGGACTTAGACTTTGTTTTCAGTAGACCTCACCCTCTCTTTCAGTATCAGTATTGTGTTTTTATAGAAGGAAGAATGACAGGTAACATAATGGGATCCATCGGGTGAATATTGCTTTAAATAGTGAACTGGTTGGTGTGAACTTGCAAATCAGTCCCCAAGTAATTTTTCAATTAAACTGATGGGATTATGCAATGGAGGGAACTGGGCTCCTCTGTGATTGTGAGATGCTTGTCCTACAACTTCTCACAACCTACTACTGTAGGATTGTACACCAAGGAAAGTGCCTTCTAACTAAGGGCATACATTAAAATAATATCTACTAAAACAGTTGTCTGTGCTATTTCTTTCTCCCAATTGTGACATCCTAGTTATTGACTTTCCTCAGGACAGTTCACAAAGCATCTGCTCTTATATCCTTTCAGCACCAAAGGCCTATTTGTTTCCCCAAGCCTTTATAAAAATATTAACTAAGATTGGTTTTAATTTGCTGCTATGGCTTCAATTTTTGCACCAAAGGTCGTGATTTATATTTCACCTGGGGTTTTTAAATTTAATTTTGTTGTTGTTGTCTTGATTTCATTACTGTTCTTTTTAGCGTTAGCGATTGTGGGAGTGTTTGTAAGTAAAGGTGGGATAAATATTTAAACAAACAAACAAGCTAGAATCTGGCATAACACAGACACCACCTTCAGTGTTGCCAACAACCTGTAGAGGAAGAGGAAGAAGTAAATCCTGCTGTATTAAATGCGGCTCACTCCCAGGAAAGTGTGAACACTATTGCAGCCTAAGTTGGAAGTTTATAGTGTGATTTAAGTTGCTCATAGTATTATAGATACAGGGTGGGGGCAATGGACCACAGTGACTAGTCTAAGGGCACATCTTTTTTTAAAAAATTGAATTGTTGGCAGAAGTCAGAATGATGGAGGACTTCCTGGTTGAAAGCTCACAAAGAAACCACTATTCTACTGCCACCTTAAAAGCTTGACTCTCACAATGCTTGAGAATGGATGAACGTTAATTTTTTCTCAAGTCAAGGAGTTCTTAATCCAAAAGATATCACGGCTGATGCCATTGTATCATGGTTGACTCGGTCCCGGGGTGCAAACCACAGTCCCTTGGAACGAAGTACAGGCTCAAGGCGCCAAAACTGATAACAGAATTTCAGCAAAGAACAGTTGCTGCAGTCCCAACGATGGTGAAATAAATACATTGACTGCCCAACCACAATGAGGTCAAACTATTATACCATGAACCTGCTTGCAGAGTTGTGGGCTTCCTGTCTCCTCCCTTGTCATATCAGAGTAAGCCAGAATGAGAGACAGAGAAAGAGAGGAACTAGGGTAAAGTGTTGTGGCTTATAGTTCCTGTTTTGTTTTTTGCTTCTTTTAATGGAGCAGCAAAGTGAAGCCGTCCGAATGAAAATGACAGTTGCAGCATGTTAGTACTTGATAGCTAAACGGGCATCTTCTCGTTTGTGCCTCGGCAAGTGAAGAGCCAGGCTTCTCGGATCTTGTCGAGTTCACTCGGGCCCACCATGGAAAAGCAAAGGTAAGGACTTCCCTTGTTCGTAATGACCTTCCATTTTCGTTTGTGGATTATAGAAAGCAAACACAGTCTACGAAAAGGAACGTTTTGCTTTTGAGCCTCTGACAACACAATTGACAACGTGCCGCCATAACATGAGCAGGCATTACTTCCCCTGATTAAACTGGTGTGTATGCGACCATGCCTGCAAGGGAAAGATAAAGGGCATCTGTGTTCATCCGAGGCAAATACTTCGGCCAAGACTGGAAGAAGGAAACCAATAATGTGCTTAAAAGGCCTCAGCAGTGTGCCTAGTGTTGTGGGTTAAATAAAGAGAGTACTTCTCACCTTCATAGTCTGGTTTTAATCTAAGGTTTCTTCCAAGCAGCTACAAAATAAAGTAATGGCATCTGGAGAAGGTAGGTAGTTCCTAAACTCTCTGTGGGGGGGAAAAAACATGTTGCATAAGTTTTTTGGGGTACAGAAGTAATTCATATGCCAGTCTGAATGGGCTTCAAAATTCTTGTTTAAAATATTGTCTAGTTTTAGACTTTAAAATGGATTGATTTTGAAAATAAAGAACTGGTTATTTTTAGTATAAAATTACATGATATATGTGAACCTTCCACTTTTTAAAAGGAACTCGCAGGAAAAACCAAACAAACTATGACTGCAGTGGTGGTGGGCATTAAGAGGGAGTGAGGTGGTGATCACCATATTTTTCTCTCCCTCCCCCCCTTTATGACAGTTAAACACTTATGGCACGCAGCTTTCATTATTTCTTCAAGCAAGCAGAAATAGCAGCTTTTCATGCTGCCTCTCAATCTAAACTGGACAAGGGAAAAGGTGGCATGGAACCAGTGAAAGAGAATGAAGATGAAATAATGTGTCAGCTAAATAACTAGACCTGTGGGTATAGGGTGGTATACAAATTTAATTTAATGAGGATGATAATGTTAATAATAATAATAATGTAACATATCTCATTCAGTAGCAATTCCTCATTAGGACATCTCACCAGAGAATTTTGCAGGGCCACCACCACCAGTAGGAAATGAGATGCACTTGCCTCAGGTAGCAGATATCGGGGACGGCAGCAGCAGCCCTTGCTTGTTCCTGCTAAGGCAAGCCTGGCCATTCCCCTCTGTTGGTGGACAGAGCTGTGTTTGCTACATGGCATGCCTTTGCCTCTCTGAACCAACTTGCTGCCTCACATGTTGTGCAGGACACTGTCCCATCACCAAAGTTGAATAAAGATTTAGCTGCCAAGCTTCTAGGCTTGGAATGCTCAGGGAAGGACACCCTGTACTTTGCCTCAAACAGCAAAATGTCTTGGTCCAGCCCTGGTATTTGGCTCATAAAATGTGCAAAGACAAAATGTGCAAAGACAAGATGTGCAAAGACAATCTGAATGCAAGAAAAAAGCAAGGAAATTGCAAAACAAACCTATTTACTGTATGCCCTCAAGCAGGAGCTTTAGTACAATGTTGCAATACTAGAAAGTAAATGGAATTCAATTCAGACAGAATTTTGTAGAAAAAGGACAGCCTGTCTAACAACCATGTGGCAAATGCAAATGTGAATATATTGTGTGTGGGTGCAGAAAAATGAACAATTAAATTTTAGTGGCAGGGAGACGAAACCTGAATTGCTTATTTCTACCATTTTATCTAATCATTTGTGAACATCAAATGTGGTGGCAATTAATGAACAACTTATGGAACACGTTCCCACCAATTGGCTGCCTCGTGTCATAACAACAGAGTTGTGGATAAGAAGCTAGCCAGGAAGGACAGATACTTGTTCAGCTTTTGCAACTTTCTGTTATTTAAATTAATACTTTATTATATCCTATAATTATTTCTCTCCTGCCTTTTAGGATATAAATCCTATGAAGGAAGTTTAATCGCAAACATATGCCTTGACTTTCCACTTAACCCTGTCTGTATACATTGTGTTTTTAATATTCTGTTGGGAGCCACCCAGAGTGGCTGGGGAAACCCAGTCAGATGGGCGGGGTATAAATTATTATTAATAGTATTATTATTAATCCATTTACCTTTATAAGGCTATCCAGTAGGCCAATAACATTGTCCAGTATGGGAAGAAGATAGGTGCTCAGGCTGTGAGTGGGAGAAAGAGTTGAAAATGAAGAACAAATTCCTGAATGGTTTTTGACAAAAAGGCTATGAAGAATACAAGTAAAAGGAATCCTACCGGGGGGAAATTAAAAAGACAAACCATATTGCTTATTGTGGCTCCTTGATACAATCTTTTTTCACTAATCTTGGTATTCTTCATGTTATCTCATTGGACTAGCAATAAGCAGCAAAGGTTTTGGTACAGACCCTATGCAGATTGGAGATCCAAGTACCAGTGGCAGATTTCCTGCAGTGCTAAACTGGGAAATAGGGACTGATAATATATATTGGATAGAGTTTACACTACAGCAGAGCTTTCCAAACTGTGTGTCACGACACATTAGTGTGTCGGCTGCAGTGTGTAGATGTGTTGCACAAACGCTCCCTGCACTTCTCCTGGGGCTGGAAAGGGGTCAATTTAACTTCCGGTTTGCTAGTAAAACTGAATTACCATGTCACGAAATTATGCGTGTCTAAAAAGTGTGTTGCCAACATGAAAAGTTTAGAAAGCTTTGCGCTACAGCAAGATAGCCAGTAGGGTTCTGTGCATGAACAGCATAGCCCTGAGCAAGTCTAGCCAATGTAATGCCCTCCAGATACTTCTGCACTACAACTCCCATCATCTGTGAACGCTGGCCATGCTGGCAGGGCATGATGGGAGTTGGAGTCCAATAATATCTTGAGGGCACTTCTTCTGCACTACAGTCTTCCTTTTAGATCATTCCAGCAATATTGATCCTGATAATTTCAGGTTGTCATGAAATGTGAGATAACAGTCAGGTACTAAAGGACTAAAGATGGGTTTAGACTGGTGAGCTATCCAACCACTTAATATGTGTTTGGTACCTATAACCCACTCAGGGCTTAACTATCTCCCATGTTTCTGAAGTTATTCCATTCAAAAGGGACATTAAAAAAGCATCTCTCTCTCTCTTTCTCTATCTATCTATCTATCTATCTATCTATCATCTCCCTAAGCACTAAACATAAAAACTGTTGTACATCTCTCATACTTTGAGAAAGATGATTCATTTGAAAGTCATCCTGAGAGCCTGCATTTCTGTGGTTGGCTAGATGAATGTTTCAAGTCATGTATAAATTATGCACCCTTTGTGTTAACTCTTTCAATTGTTTTTAAGAGACTATTCCCATCTAAGAAGGAAATACTTTCACAGGAGAAAGACTGAAAATGAAGTCAACCATATACTTATTTTTAAACAGAGATTGCATTGCACCTCAAAACAGGAGATACATAATAGGGAGGAGTGCCTTTGCTTTTTGAGATCACACATGCATAATCACACATACATTCATCATAGAATTTTCCTAATTTCACTGGCTCCTGCCAGAAATGGCCTGAATAACATACCCTCCAACCTTTCTCCAATGAAAATAGGGACGTCCCATTTCATAATGATTATTTTACTATTTATATGCCACACATCTTACTGGGTTCTCCCAGCCACTCTGGGCAGCTTCCAACATATAGAAAAACATAATAAAAAACAGTAAAAAAAATCCTTCCCTATACAGGATTGCCTTCAGAAGGCTTGGGGGTCAGATAATTCCATACCCTCCAACATTTCACCAATGAAAATAAGGACATCCTACCATACTCTCCAACCTTTCGCCACTGAAAACAGGAACATCCTATGGAAAAGT